AAGTAATATAAAAAATGGATAGAAGAGATAAAGATTTAATTCGTATAAAATCTTTAATGAATGAAACGAGAAAATTTTCTTTTTTGTATCAATTTTTTCATTAAATTTATCGAGATTTATTTATCTCGCTGATCTAAGAGTTATTTCTCTTTCTTCTTTTCACTTTGAGTTTGCATAATGTTTTCCTGAATCTCGTGATAATTAAGTATTTAACAATCCTGCTTGAAACTGGGAGTACTTATAAGTGATGGATGGGAAATTTTAATTTACTTGGGTTTGAACAGTGAAAAGACCCTCAAGATAAGCTTTTACGGTTAACGACGATAGGGATGCAGCCCGGGGTCTGAAAAACGAGGTACTTTCGTATGAAAGCTCAACCACCCTTACTGATTTATTTCCTTGCGCGAACAATTTCCACTTGTGGCTTTTATCTCGCTCACTGCTTATTCGCTCAAATACTTTTAACAAGTCATTTATATTTATATATGTATACGTATATATGTTATATAAAAAGATAGATATATATTTTTTGGTCGATAAATATTCCATAAGGTTTCTAACGTAACAGAATTTTTTAAATGCCATACGCGTGGCAGTCCATAAAAGTTAATCGAATTGATCAAGTCGATCACGTTTAAGCTACCAGGTCATAAAATCGAGTTCTACAGTTGAAGAGCATCCCCTACGTGGAGATACAAGAAGAAAGGAAATGACTTCACTTTAACAAGAGTCGATCCCTTGACTGTATATTCGAGAAATAAATATTGTATGAGATTCATTTTCGTACACTTCGCTAGGAATATATAGTATGATAACGTATTTCTGTCACGTTTGTTGACAGCTATTTCATGATGACGTCGAATTCAACAAGTTAGAAATTTTGTCGTTTAGAGTCAGTCTTTTCTGTTGCCATGGAAATGAATTTGGAAAATTCAAGCACGATCAACCCGGGTAGGCGAATCCATTTCATTCATCATTGTCGGTTATCGCGAGGGTGTTTCTTGTTAAGGTTGCCGTGGAAACGGTCGGAGAGTACCAGTAGCACCACCATTATATAGCTACAGATATATACCGACCGTCCATGCGTATATATACACTACCACTAGGATCCTTGGTGCAGTAAGTAGGTCAATATCGAATAAATCACAGCCAGGATAATCCGCTCGCTAGAACGAGAGAACATCTTTCACGAAATAATGCTGTCAGCTGTTCTCATATGTCACTAAATTAAAAGGGATTGCACGTTACCAAAGATTTTGATATATTTGATCACATTATGAAACATAATTTCAATTAATTTATAAAATTTGTTGGAAATTCTGCATTTGTTGACGAATCGTAACGGCTAAGTTGGATAAAAAAATTTTGACATAATTGTTACAGATATAATTAACGACGCGATATTCGACGAGGATCACGATGAGATGGTAGTAGTAAAAGACATTGAGATGTTTTCCATGTGCGAACACCATTTGGTACCATTCTACGGCAAGGTGTCAATCGGTTACCTTCCTTGCAAGAAGGTATTAGGCCTCAGCAAACTTGCCAGGTAATTAAATGACATGTTAATTAAAGAGCTTGTCAAGTTTACCGAGTTTTTCGAATTGCAAGTGAATTAACTTGACATGTAAATTATTCACGATTTAAGATCGGTTAATCTCTTCCATTTGGACACACAACTTAATTGCGATTCTGTCACGTATCATATATACTGTTCCTTCATGCGTAAAAACTGTTATATTAATAATAATTTATTTAATTATATTAAAATGTATTATCCTTTACTTTCTATGTTTTAA